TTTAGGTTGTCAGGTTCAAGTGCTGTCTGCTAGAGTCTCTTAGATTGTAGGAAGAGGTACCTCAGACTTGTGGGGAGGGAGGTTCTCAGTTGTTAGACTGGAAGGATGCAGCTTCTTGGGTTTAGGGTCTCCAGCCCCCAAGATCACTCTGAGCACATTTATGTTCTTCCTTTACCTCCCTCAGCACTGCCCCTTGACCCCAGCATTTCATGCTGCACCCAAGTCTATCGAAAGAATCTCCCCGGTAAAGTATTCTGGAATGTCATCCAGGTAGAACGACAAGAGGCCAATGGTGACTGTCATTTACAGGCTTATGTGTGAGTCTGAATCAGATCCTGGACCCCCCCTCCCCACCTCACCTTTAAAACTCATCACTTAGTCCCCTCCTGGCCCTTCTCTTGCTCTCCCAACTAATCCCTTATCCTGTCCCCTCAGGCTGCACCGAAAAAATGGACGACCTGTTTGTGTTCACCCAAAGAACCGTTCTCTAGCTCGGTGGTTGTCCCGAAACAAGATGAGGCAGAAGAATTATGGTCATACAACCAGGCTCAACCCAACTCCCTAGTCTTCACCCCCACGCCCACCCCCACTCCCATTTCCTCCAGTCTCCTGTGAGAACTGATCTCAGTTCAGGTCTTTTTCCTCAAAAACCCAACCCCATATATTGCTTGACCCCCTGGGGATGGGGGGGCATTCATTTCCTTAGAGACCCAAGGTGGGGAGAAAGCAAATGGACTTAAAAGCCTGAGCTCTGCACAAGAACCAGGAATTAAGCCCTGGGGATCAGGCCTGGTGGAAAGCAGTCCCATACCCATTGCCTTCAGGTAACGCTCTTCCCCTAATAAAGATGAGCTGGACAGAAGCCTCTGGTAGCTCAAAACATCAGGGAGAGAAACAGGAATAAGATGGGAAAAATCTAGGAAGTAACTTTCTCCAGAGGGCACCAACATCTTCAGAAGAGTTTATGCCAAGGGTATGACACAGAACTCCTAATTCCTTTATTCACATAGATACATGGCAACAATACCCTATCATCCTCCAAGCTTCCTCTCCCACCAACATCCATTGGTGCCCACACACAAACACAGAGCTAGGAGGCTTACAGAGGTATATGTCCAAAACAACCACAGATGCGTAGTCTTCAGAAAGCCCATGTTACCCACCTGACTCATACCCAGAGTCCTACACATAGACACAAACACACACATGGATATTTCCCACATGTACATAGAAACACACCTCACCTTGCCTCAGGTGTATTTCCATATATGTCCCTTATGGCCCCAGATGTTTGGGAGGGAAGTCTGTTTCCCTTACTCTGAGCCAGGGTTGGGGTGGGAAAGGGAGAATGTTACATGAGCCCCATGACTAAGGAGTTGTTCACCCACCCACTGAATAGCAAATATTGGGGACATTGTGAGTCCCACAAAAATGGACCCTAAACAATAGCCCCTCAAGACAATGGAGTTGGAGGGGAGTCAACTATCCTTCCAGAAACTCCGGTTGTCCTTCCACACTGGTGGAATCCTATTAGGAATGAGATCCTCCAAAGTTCACTTACAGGATCTGAGCCACTGTAAGGAAACAGAAAAGGGAAGTAATTTGAGGAAGGGTCTCTGAAGGCACCCTTGGCCTATCTTTGGACTCTCTGGACACATTCCCAGATGTTCCAAAAGAAGACCCAAGCTAGAAGAGACAGGGAGGGGAGCTAAGTATTTTTGTCCCCCCACCCATAGCCCCCCAAGTCTTCAGGTCCTGTCTCCTCTTTCTCTCCCTTATGTATCCCCTGCTCCTGGCCTTCCCTCTTCCCCCTCCCCTCACATTATGCTTGAACTATTCTCTTAAAAGAGAATGTTTTTTTCTATTCCTCTTCACCTATCCACAAGGTCCTGCCTCAAGTCCTCTGGTAAATCGTCCCTTACTGCTCCAGCTCACATCAACCTTACCCTTTTCCAGCCTCTGAAAACCTGAACTATGCGCTCACCCTTGATCACACACTGTCCCATCCTGTCCTCTGTTCAGTTCAATTCCAAATAATGGTTACTTTTCCAACTAAAGCATTGGGAAAACCCAAGGGTAGAACCTATCCATTCTGTTTGTGCATGGCTATGGCCTTGCACAAGGCTGGCTGCCCAGAATTCCCAATGTACTTGTCCGATCACAGGAATGATGTTGCTGAGGGGCCTTTTCCCCCTCTCCCTCCCTTCCTCTCCCATCACAGCAGAATATGAAGCCCAACTAAAAGCTGAGACAACAGAAATGTTAAAGGGGCAGGGTTAAGATCCAGAAAGGGGATGGGCTTGGAGAGTAGAGATATTTATGGCCTTATTCTCCAACCCTCCAAATCTGGAGAATCAGAACTCTAGTTAGAAAGGACAGACCCACCCACTTGGTTGTGTTTTTGGCAAAAGACCAGAAGATAGGGATGGGCTGAGTGAGATTTTCCAGGAGGATAGGAACTCAGGACTAAGGCCTCGGGAAAGGCCTGAATAGGGTAGATGTGATAAGGGAAATGGTAAGTCACAAGATCATTAGAGAGCTAGGAGGTGACTTGCAGGTGGTAATAACAAGGATGCAGGTCTGCTAGAGGTGGGGGTTGGGGGGGGTTCCCTCTTAGTTTTCCCACCTTTGAAACCACCTCTCCTCCTAAGGCACTCACCAGGCATGGTCTTCACCTGCACCATAGAAGCCAAGAATCCAGGCTTTGGGGCAGCCCCTTTTCTGTTTGCTCTCAGCTTGAGCCTGTGGTGAGCACAGAGTAAACAAGCTTTCCCCTGAGCCCAGGAGGGCTCAGCCCTCCACAGGGCTCAAGGGAATTGGGTCAGTGGGTCTCAATAGCTTCACCCAGGAAAAGAGGAGGTTGGTCCACAGATGATCTCTTAAGAGCCCATCATTTGATCATGTATTAAAAGCCAGATGGATCTGACCCTTCATTTT